CCCAGACGCTATATCTTTTGATAGCCGGGCACCATCAGCTTTCTTCACCACATTTGCTTATTCACCCGCTTTGTCTTCAGCGGTTGGAACACTACTTATTTTTAAATGAGCAGTTGGACCATGTGGCAAGTGGCTCAAAATAAGTCCATTTGGTGTTTCCCGGTCTTCATTGATAACAATCAGTTCTGTAAAATCTCGTGAGGCACTGAGGAATAATTTTTCAGAGCCAGACCTCTTTTGCAATAGACATGTGACTTTGGAATAACCGTGGAGGGCTGTTCACCGAGCCGCACTGTTCTCCCACGAGGTCTGTCTGATGTGGTAATGAGAATCTTGGGAGAAGTTGTCTTTTGAAATAGGCAGATTCATCTGTAGCTTCATGATGAGCAACCTCTTCATCATTAGGGTCTACTATGGTCTCATCACATCCTCGCTGGCTGTCAGGGGTCTTAGGTACAGGTACTTCTTTCTTAAGTCTTTTCTTAGCAGCCAGCTTTTCCTTCCGCCTCTGCTGTTTCCACCTCATGAACCTCAGGTGTGGCCGCTGCTTGTTCTTAATTTCCGAAGCACTGAAGCCTGGGGGAAGGCAGCCGCTTTTGGGGCTGGACCCCGCTTTCCGCCTTTCCATCCCCGGAGATCTGTCTCCTGAGGTTCTTCGGAAGGGGAAGGGGCTTTTCGCTTCAGACCTCTCCTTCCGCCGCTACTCTCGTCTCCGGCTCTCGCCATGGTGTTGGCTCCTTGGCGTCCCGCCTCCTGTTATCTTCTATACTTACAGGTTTCCACATCCCAGTTTGATTATTCATAAGAGAGCATTAGATCTTTGCTTCATTATGCATAAAGTATTCAATCAACGTTTTGGCAATTATCATGGATTTACGGGTCGTTGTACTCAGCTGAAATAGTGTATATGTATATAATGTAATATCATAACCCAACATTCACCAATCATAAGATTCAGTGCTCTCCTTGGGGACAGCCTTGCCCCCTTCAGTGCTGTGAGCTTCCCAGCAATGTGGTCTAGTGCTTCCAACATTGTCGCCACTGAGAACTGACATAGTCCATTTTCTGGGAAAATTAATACTCTAGATGGTTAAATAAGTCATTAATCTGAGAAAGTTATTAATTAATCAATCTGATAAGCAAAGTTACTAATTCTTCACACACAAAAAAATCAAGCTCCCTGCCATAGAATCAGTTCTGACGCATAGTGACCCTATAAGACAGGGTAGCCCTCCTCTTGCAGGTTTGCAAAAGTGCAACTCTTTACAGGAATAGAAAGCTGTGTCTTTCTCCATCATAGCAGCTGGTGGGTTTGAACTACTGGCCTTGTGGTTAAGCAGCCCAGTGTGTAACCACGACACTACCAGTGAGTAACCTAGTATATTCTACTTAATTTCATCTTTAGACTTTAAGAGTAAAATACAAATAGAATCTGCTGAACCCAATATCTAAGTTGTCAACTTCTTGGGATAAAGCAAGTGGCTCCCTCAGTGCGAGTGAAGCAGGAGTTAGCTTGTAATAGAGTTGTTGTCATAGGCTCATCTTTTCTGATCCTTCCCCAAAATTACTGTCTCATTTCTGGCAACCTGACTTATTTTGGATAAAATTGTGTATTTTAAGAAAGAGATAGGCCTTTAGCAATCTGGAGGGCTACCAGGGTAGGGAATTATTTATACATGAAGAATATTGGAAAGCATTTCATTGCTCTATGATCATATAACAACTCTGTGCTGATTTTTTGAAAGTCTCCTAACTAGTCCTAAATGCCGCCATTCACTGGAGGCTGAATGGATGATTCTTCATATCTGATGCTTCTGGCTTTAGTCTGATGCTGTCAGAAGAAGAACCCATAACTAACCTAACTTCAGTGATTTTTTTTTTTTTTACGTGGGGGTTTCAGTTGAACTCGGTCTCTGGGTAAGGAGGTCAGCTCATGGGGCATACCTGAGGGAGGGGCTTTTAGAGTTTCTATTGTTTGTTTCTTAGTATCTGTTGTAACCAGAGAGACAGAGAAAGAAATCCTAGGCAAGCTTAACTACCAAAGGCATTTGGGGAGGTGATTTTGATAGAATTAATGAGTTTGTTATAAAAAGTGGTTCGGAAGTGCAGTCCTTTAGCAATGGCAATGCAGGGTTTGGTCAACAATAGTCTACACCCTGACAGGGGGCTGCAAGCAGGAGAAGCTTGTGCCAAGTGCATTTAGGTGAGCAGGACGCAGAGAGTTTTGAATAAACACAGGGACTCTTCAGGAGCACCAGAGAACTGTTTGCCAGTATTCTTTCTGCTGTATTTTCTGGTCTTTAAAAGAGAGGGGGGACAAAAAAAAAATCAGAAACCTTCCCAGCCCTTGACTGCCCTTTTCTATGCTTCTAACTTGTAGTGGTTCTCAATGCTGGCCGCACGGTAGAATCACCAGGAGAGTCCTTCAAAAGTATTAATGCATGGGCTACACCGCTAGCATCTCCAGTGTAGTTGAGACCTGGGCATTGGTATTTCTCAAGAACGTCCAGATAAAATCTGACATGCAACCAGTGTTGAAAATCATTGCTCTTTTGCAGTGTATAAAAATCACTTGGGAGTGGTAGTCATTGGGGCCTGAGAATTTGCATTTATAACACACTGCAGGTAATGCTGATTTTGCTGATAAAGGTCATCACATTTTGAGAACCACTGTTATAAGTGTAGATAAATCATACTCACTGCCATTGAGTGGATTCTGAGTTGTGAAAGTAACTGACTTTAAAACTTACTTGCGTGTGACTGATCATGTTTGATTGGTCCTTTTAAAAAAACACTTCTAGTAATATACTGTTGAGCTAAAATTTAGGATTAAAGGACAGCCTTACGAATATGGTTCCTTGTATATTAAAAAGATTGCTACTTTTATATTGTTATTTTTAATTGATGTTTAAAATAAACATGTTTAGTTTCATTTAATAACCCCCAGCAGAATATGCCAAATCAATAGTAACTAAAATCTTTATAGAGTGATCATAGTTTTAAAAATGAAAGAATTTATATTTCCTGTCAGGCTTTGTGAACTATTTGTTTACATATATTTAAAAATATAAGTTTATATATTTGTTCTGCTTTTCACCCTATTCTGTGGGAATCCTTCAGGTTTGGGATCTTATATTTTGTAGTCTCTTTGGGTATCTACATTAAAGTTGTTGCTGCTAGGGGCCATTGAGTCGGTTCTGACCCATAGCGACCCTGTGCACAACAGAACACTGCACAGTCCTGCGCCATCCTCACATCTTTGTCTTTCTCTATGCTAAAGCAGCAGTTCTCAACCTGTGGGTCGTGACCCCTTTGGGGGTCAAACGACCCTTTCACAAAGGTCGTCCGATTCATAGCAGTAGCAAAATGACAGTGATGAAGTAGCAACGAAAATAATTGTATGGTTGGGGGGTCACCACGACATGAGGAACTGTATGAGAGGGTCCTGGCATTAGGAAGGTTGAGAACTGCTGCTTTAAAGAGACTTTGTGCAGCAGATTTACCGAATGCAAAGCACAGCGGCCTCTTGACCCATGTACAAGTTTATTAAAGTTACACCCCCTTTTCAGCAGGAATTTCAACATTTCCAGTGTGGAGAGTTTCTTGTTTAACATGGGAGAGATATCTTAAATAACCACCCCTATCTTAAGTATGAGGAGCCCTGCTGGCACAGTGATCAAGCATTTGGTTCCTAATTGAAATGCCGAAAGTTCGAGCACACTAGATGCTGAGCAGGAGAAAGGTACAGCAGTCTGCTTCCATCATAAATATAGACTAGGAATCCTTCGGGGGCAGTTCAGCTGTGTCTTACAGGGTCATACTGAGTCAGAATGAATTTGATGGCAATGGGTTGTTATCTCAAGTACGATAGAGGAACGCAGAAGGCTGCAGAGAAAAGTGCGGGTAGATGGGGCTATCAATGCTACAAGTTTGGGCAACATTGGAAGAGATGTCACCATCTAGAACAGTGGTTCTCCACCTTCCTAACGCCGTGACCCTTTCAGACAGTTCCTCATGGTGTGGTGACCCCCAACCATAACATTATTTTCACTGCTACTTCATAACTAATTTTGCTACTGTTATGAATTGGGCGACCCCTGTGAAAGGGTCATTTGACACCCCCCCAAAAGAGTTGCGACCCACAGGTTGATAACCATTGGTCTAGAAAGAGCAACAGCAGGAGGAGGTGCCCTATTATTCCCAAGAAAGCAGGAATTGAGGAGATGGGTATGAGAGAAGTTAACTGAATTGAGGATCATGGCCAAAGTCATAGACCCATTATGTGACAGAGTCAGTTCCCACACTGGGATTTCTGAGACTCAAAGGGCCATTCTATTACCCACAAAACAGTGAAATGAAACGTGCCATTTCTATAGAACCAGGTCTACAACAAATAAGCATCTTAGGGCAAAAATAGCCTCTAGATGGTGTTGGCTCTTTCGCTGCCTCATTGGGATACCGAGAATGTGTGCTTCTGAAGTGACAGCTTCCAATGTGACATTCTGTGTTTTTCAGAACTCGTCCTCACCCTTTGATCACTGTACTTGAACATAGACCCGACTGCTGGCCGGTTCTTCTGCAGCAGCTGACAGCATTTTTCCAGCAATGTCCTGAAAGGTAATGTAAAATGAAACAAGTGAAGAGATGTAATTTTAGAGCTTGTTTGCAGTTTCTCTGACTACCCCTTCCTCACTCATCAACGATCTCGTTATCTGACATTTCACATTTGAAACTATAGTAGAAGCTCTACTATCTGACTTTGTTTTGCATTAATGAGTTATCACCAGCAGTAACAAACACCGAGGTGAGCGTAACACTGGCATGTGATGTCTGTGTGGCATCTTGGCTGGGTGGGCCATGATGCTCAGTGGTTTGGCAGTCGTGTAGTGATGTAATTTGGCAGTTATATAAAGATGTAAGTTGGCCACTGTGTAATAATGTGGTCAGTTTCCATTTTGTTATTTGATGTGTTCATCTTCCATTTTTTTTTTCATGGTAAAGACCGCTTTATTGGTGGCAGTTAGTACAAGTCAATAAATATTGATCCCCAAAGAAGAGTTGTTATTCATTCATTCACTGGTCCATAGAGCACTGGGTTAAACAGAACCAACTGCTGGAAGGATAAACTGAGTCAATCCTGCTTCTTGGGAAATGAAGCCATAGCCAGCTGATATATGGCATATGCTGTTCCTCCGACTGTAAGAACCATGGTTGCTCTATACAGTAGGGCATCAGCTGCTCCCCCCCTTTAGATGCACTGGAATCCCATTGTTCTCCTGAAATAGCTTCTGTTTCTCTGAAACTTTATTTTCAAACTGTCTGTGTGAAGCAGTACTTATGGTCCTTTGGGCAATTTGACGCAGAGCTTGTAGATTGCGCAGCATCTCGGCTCTGTTCCTAGCGACCCAACGCCGCGACAACTGAAGCCAGCAACGGAGAGGGTCACCCATCTTCCATTTTTGTATAACATCTATTTTACATACTGGTTCAGTCTTTGGACCCTAACCATGTCAGTAAGTGAGAGGAAAGTGTTTAATGTTTTCACCCGAAGAAAAGATATATCTTAGGGAAAGATGTGTTTTTAAATTTTCTTTGTAAAGTATAAGAAGAATTTTGTAAAGCCTCCATATTTATTGGTTGATGAAATATTGACTAGGACAAAAGTTATCACCATAGAAGTTAAGCACTGGTTGGTTAGTGGTTAAACAAGTTGATTGTATTTGGTAAACGACTAATGATAACATAACTAGCATAGGTTTCTCCTTCTGGAAATTGATTAGTACAGTAATCTCTCTGTTACCAACTGGCCAATTTGGATTAAGTAATTCTTAATCCAGCTAGGCCAGAGAGCCACGTATGTGTGGTTAGTTTCATTTCACCAAGATCTCCTGCCAGTCCTCAAAACTAACCTCCAGTCAATTCCATCCTGACTGTCATGGCCCTGGTTCAGGTCTGCAACCTCTCTTACTTGGGTCCCTGCCACCTGTTCCTAACTGGCATTTTGGCCGTCAGTGTAGCCCTGTTCATCTCCATTCTCTAACCTGTCATCAGATTGATATATCAAGAGAGAAGATCTTGCTTAAGTTTCTATACCTGTGGCTTTCAAACTGTGCTTGCTACTTGTGGGCTAAGCACAGGGAGTCGTCCCCCCACCTCCCTCCTCCAACTAGCAGCTCCGTGTTGATTGTGCTCACAGGTTGATTGCTCCTGGCAATTTTCTAGTAGGGAAAAGATGGTCTGGTTTCTCAAGCAATTTGAAAAATCCTTGGATTGCAGGATAAAATCTCATCAGTCATACGAAGACTTTATATAGGATATGATTTCTGTCTATCTCACCCATTTGATCTCCTTTTATCATAGGGAGTCCTGGTGGTGTAGTGCTTATGCATTAGGCTGCTAACTGAAAGGTCAGCAGTTCAAAACCACAAGTTGCTCTTTGGGAGAAAGATGAGGCTTTATACTCCCATAAAGAATTACATATAGAAGCAGTTTCATCCTGTGCTATAGGGTTGCTATGAGTCAGCATTGACTCAATGGCTGCGGCTTCTTTGGTTTATCTTTATCTTTCAATTTATACTCTAGCAGTACACTACCTTGCATGTAATCCCGTACAGAAAGCACTGCCATTTTCTTGCTTTTGCTTGTTACCACTCACTCTGTTCTCTGTACTCTCCCTTCCTGATTAATTTCTCCATTTCAAATCTCTGTTGAGGCTCTCCCCGCCCTAACAAGTCTTTGCTCACCACGAGCTGGATTAGGCGCCTCCCAATAACTTGAAGTTCTGACTTCTAACACTATTGGACTTACTATATTGTTTTATAACTACTCTTTGATTAACTGTAAAATCTTCTTGAGGCCAGGAACTGTGTCTCACTATTCTTTGTATTAATGCAAAGGGGTTTCAAAAAATTCAAGGAAAAATGAAATTGAAAGATAATAGTATTTTTCCACAAATGTTTTGAAATTCCCTCCTAATATCTGGCACACTTCTCAGTACTCCATAGTGCTGAATTTAACTGAATGATGCCCAGAGAGTTGGTAGGTCTGAGGCACAGGGTTATAGAGTGCTTCAGCATACACAAGATCTCCTTTATAGACTTGGTATCATCATATGGGATCATGATGGGGTATCACCATCTTGGTTAACTGAAAGCCCGTGTTACTTACACTACATCAACCATGCTCATGCTTTCTTGACCTTGGAAGTGTTTTAGGATATTGTTTCTGAGTCTGTAACTGGAGTTGTAGATGGGATTTCTAGGCAGGATGTCTCCTACGGGAAGCTTTTAATGGATATGAACACTGTAATCAGCTGACTGACTTTGGGCCAGGAGTTACGGAGCTATATTGAAATCTAAATAAATATGAAAGATTTATAAATGATTCCTTATTTGAGGTGGAAGAATTTAAGAGGACACTTTGACAAATTGCTTCACCCTTTTTTTGCCTGGGATTCCTCATTTACATAATGTGGTTATTATTTTCTGTATTGTAGCATTGTGGTAAGGAGTCCTGGTGGTGCAATGGTTAGAGCTCTCAGCAGCTTTGGTTTTGTAAATCGAAAGGTCAGCAATCTGAACCCACTAGCCGCTCCACAGAAGAAAAGTCTTGGTGATCTGCTCCTATGAAGATCAGAGCCTATGACAGGCACAATGGAATGGTCCTCAAAAAATTAAAACTAGAACTGCCATAGGACCCACCACTCCCACTCATAGGTTTATATTCTGAGACTTGTACTCCAGTGTTCAGTGGGGCACGATTCAGCAGAGCTGGAAACAGCTTAAATGCCCACTGACAGATGAATGGATAAAGAAAAGTAGTCTCTGCACACCGTGGAATACTACTCAGCCAGCAGGAGAAATCCATCTACAGTACTGATGCTACAGTATGGAAGGAGTGGGAGATAGGATGCTGAATGAAATAAGCCAATCACAAATAGATAAATCTTGTATGACCTCTTTTACATAAAAGGACAAAAATGGGCAAATGTATAGAGACCAGAGTTTATTAGTGGTTACCAGTTAACTAAATTAATAGAAACATAAGTCAGCATAGTTCACCCTGGAAGAAGGAAGAAGAGGGAGGTTAATGGTGTGAGGTAGGGGGTTTGGAATACATTAAGGGTCGGATGACATAATTGATGATTGTAGTAACTGTCAGTAAGTTGTATACCTATAAAAAGTTGAATAGGCAAAATTTGTATGCTATCTAATGATAATAATGACACTACCCCACCAGCACCCAAAATTAAAATATTAAAAAGAATAGCTACTGAAGCTGCTTATGTGCATCCAAACACCTCATGGGATTTGGCTTCTTGGATTGGAGGTTTAGGGTAATGGTTTCATGAGATATCCCAATTAATTGCTTTAGTAATATATTTAGAGCTTCTGCTTTACCTTGTTGTGCCTGGGGATTTAAAATCTGCAAACATCCAACAAAAGCACAGGGATTGATTTCTGTTCACGTGGTTCCACAGAAGAAGGATAGTTAGGGATAGGAGAAGGATTTGGAAAGTGTGGTATTTGCCTCCATGTACAACTGACCCTTTATCAGGAGGCCAAACAAACTGCTGCACTGAATATTTTGACCAAAGATTCTAGAGACAAATTCTTATCAAAAGGGAAGAAGTGCAGAGAAGAATTTCCTCTGTTTGCGGACTCCAGGCTTCTGGACTCATGAAGGTTGGATCAACCTCTGAAACTACTGCATTGAAGTAGTCTCTAAATCTCCAACCAGAAATATGTCCCATAGTCTTCTTAAAACCCAACAATAGCTCAATTATTAAAAAAAACAAAACAAACAAATCTCTGCTGTGAACATTATGGTGTTTTAGGAACTCGTCTATGGGAACAAATTGACAACAGCAATTAGAAAAATGAAATAGAAATCTTAGGGAGACAACAAGTTTATGTTAGTGAGGTCGAAACGACGTAGAAAAGGAGAGTAAGAATGCTTACACAACTTGAAGAGTGCTACCAGTGTCTCTAAATCATGCACATGGGAGCTGTTGGATTGTTGTCTGTGTCGCTGCATATATTATCAACCAGAACTATTGTTTATGTGTATAAAAGGTTGCAGCTCAGGAAGCCATAGAGGGCAGTTGTAGTGTGTCCTCTCCGGTCACTGGGTGTGGGTATTGAGTCAGAGACCCCCCAACAGTATTGTGGTGTGAAGTACATGAGTCTAAAGACATATGGTGCAATAACTCTCACATCATAGGTATTAGCAAGTAATTGTCACTATATTCTTCTTGGGATGGTTCTGTGACTTTGCTTTATATAGAAGCTCACTCAGAGAGTTTTTCCAGAAATGAATGCCTGTGCTATAGTCCTGGAGTATCCTAACATCTCTTAGATGATTTTTGATGTTCATTAAAGACTGATTCTGAAAACTTATCTCCCTTCCTGGTTGAGACTTTCCTGAACCGGGGCATCAGGCATATGATCTCTAGGGTCTGAGTCATTTTCCCTGATGTCCAAACAGTTTGACATAGGTTTGGCTAGAACAATCATGGGGAAAATAAAGTCACATTCAGGGGTATGGGTTCAGGGGTATGGACCAAAAAACCCATAAACTCAGGGGTATGGACCAAAAAACCCACAAACCACTGACTTATTGGGACCCTGTAGGACAGAGCAGAACTGCATCCATGTGTTTCTAAGGATCTATCATGAACTCTAAGTTGAACTTTGTCACTTGTCTGCTTGACCCTATGTTTAACAAAGTGTTTGGCTAATCAACTTATGTGACTTACAGGTCAGAGCTTCCTTGTATCCAAATAATGGCACCATTTCTCTGGTATCTGTATTGTGAACCATCCCAGTTACAAGAATATGCTAAGCTTCGGCTAACCCTCCTGAAAGTCTTACTTCAGCCCCCGATTCTTTGTGAGCAAGAACAGCCACCGGTATTGGAACAGCATATACTTCAGCTGTGTTGCGACATGGTTCCGTGCTTGCAGGTAAGGGCCTCCTCTTTTATTCCTGTTAACTTCCACATCTGAGTCAGTGAGTGTGGATTGTCACTGTCAGGCACGGTGAAGTCACCTGTCAAATCCAGAAACAATCCTGGCTCCAAGAACCCTGGCAGTATTTTGGAGGAGATAAAGAAACAACATAGCATTAACATTAATATATAATACATGAACTAAATTCATAGAAATGTAAGTCAGCATAGTGTAGTACATGCTGGGATTAACAGTTGGAATGTCTTGCTTGCGTTAAAGAAGAAAGAAATTTTGGGAAAGAATTTGAGTTGAGTTTCTTGGTTCCTGTACTAGACCTTGAAAGAGTTACCTCCCGCCCCTCAAAAAAAAAAAAATTGGACTTCTGCGTACAAATGAGAAAAAGGGCTACCCCTGGGCAGATACGGCCGGGGCTGCAAGATGTGGCCAATTCATTGCTGTCTAGGTTTTTGCTCTCAGTTGTCCCCTTGCAAAAAAAATGTGGTGGCCCTGATGGATCCTGCTCACGTAAGGGAGTGAGGACAAGCATAGAAACAATTTCTGATTCAGAAGTCAGTGGGAGGAAATTGTTTAACAGAGGTATCAGTAAAAAGTGAAGGGAGTTGAGGGGACAGGTATAGCTAAGCAGATGCCTTCTTATCTACAGATACCCAACCAACCAACCAACCAACCAAACAAACAAACAAAGGATTCCTGTGTCGTGTGTTACTATCTTTGTGGAGTAATTTTATTTCAAGCCATCCGATCCTAAAACCAAGGCTTTTCTTTGCCTCAAATATGAGCACCATGCTGCTTAGCTGATGGGGGGAGTATGCATATATTTTTCAGAGCGATCACTTGCGGTCGCAGATGACCTGTTTTAAGTTTGCCCGAGCAGAGAGGGACTCATAAATAGGCTTTCCTGTAATCAAGCCAGAGAAAAGTTAATGGAAACGAATTCTCTGGTGTCTGTTGCTAAAGCTTTTGTTTTGTGTGGACAATCAAGCCACCTCTAGGCAGCATAACTTGAGCTTCTTAACCCCATGCCTGTATTGCCCTGCTCTGTGCTCTGTCAGTGTTTGCCTTTGTCTTTTTGGACCTGGTTTGACCAACCCAAATACTTCTAGAAATGAGCTCTGTGGACTGCTTCTGAAAATCTGTGGCTTGATTCTCAGTACTGAAAATAGTGATGCAAGTATATTTAATGCCTTCACAAATCAGCTTTATTAGAATGAAGAATCTGAGAGTTGGGCGGGGGTGGGGTGGGGTATGTGTTACCCTACCGATATAGAATTCATCTTCCCACTTGATACAGATAGTTCTTGTATTTTCTCATAGATGACCATAGCACACTGATTGGATTTGCTAGTGCTAGGAAGCAGCAACCATATCTATGATTCTTTTTCCCTCTTTTTCTTTTTAAAATCTTACTGACCTGCATTTTAAAAGTTGTTTCCCCTTTTCAGAGCAAAACAAAACACGCTTTTAAGAAAGCCTGCCTGATTTCTGTCGTGCTCCGTTTCTTCCTCTGTTTCTCCCTCCCTTTTCTCTTCGTCAGGCATTGACTTCTCCCTGGGAAATAGGGTTTAGAGGGTTCACTGCCTCTTGCCGGCAAGTGCTTGGCTTACTGTGGTATAGACTGTGCAGCCATGAGAAGGGCTGCTTCGAGCTGAATGCAGTTCTGTTTGTGTAACTGATTCAGACTGCGTACTAGGGTAGAATCACACTTTTTCTTCTTCTTTTTTTTTTTTTCCGAGAAAGAGCTCTGCCCCTCTGTGACTTGTGCTAAAGTGATTGTCAATGACACTCCTTTTATTTTTTGTCCTTCTTATAACAATTGCTGTTCTACTTATGTTGGTAGGTTGTCTCTATAAAAGCCATTCTATTGACCTTTGCCCCAATGGCTATCTTTTTAAATTTTGACCCTTGCCCTCTCCTATTATCTATCCTACTCACCAAACTCACTATCATTGAGTCAATTCTGACTCAAAGGACAGGGTAGAACTACCCTTGTGAGTTTCTGAGTCTGTAGATCTTTACAGGAATAGGAAAGTCTTATTTTTCCCACAGAGCAGCTGGTGGTTTTGAACTGCTTACCTTGTGGTTAGCAGCCCAATTTGTAACCACTACACTACCAGGGCTTTATTGCATACAAGTGCATGAAATATTTCTGTATGGAAGTGTAATATTATTTCAAAACTACTCTTAAGAATTTTGATGATACTAATAACAGTCTTTGATGCTAACTTTTTGAGGTTAGTTAATTTTTTTTGTTTTTTTAATTGTGGAAAATTTCCAGTAAGACCCCTTCAATTTCATCATCCCTCAACTCTAGGAACATTATTAACATACTGTCCAAATGTTTCCTTGAAAGAACAGCACAGATTTCATGAGAAAAGCAGATTATCTATTACTTCTAGTATTTAACATAATACTTCATACACATAAGAATGCATTATTTTCTCTTTAAAAAAGGGTAATTTTTATACCATGAAATTCACCAACATCAAGTGTAGAGTAATTCAATGTTTTGTAAGACCATATCACAATCTAATTTTAAGGCATTTCCCCCATTTCCAAATCTTTCCTTACTTAAAAAAGGACTTGCTTTAGAGATTCATAACTAAATGAACAATAGGATTCCTATTTTAAACCCAATTTTCACGACAAACAAAGATCAAAAGGTTCTTGGTAATGAATCAATAGAAGGCATGTATTGTAGAGTCTTTATTTGAATATTTTTAACTTGGGGATGACTGAATACCCTTTGCAATTTCTTCTTCAATCAGTGTTTTTTTGTTTGTTTGTGTAGTATGTACTGGGAAGAAAACCCAGCGTCAGCCCAAATAGCTAATGCCGCAATTAAGGGAATGTATTGGCAGATAAATACACAGCTGCGCTTTGTGCTAAGTCCTTTCCTTTTTTTCCTTTCTTGGTGGCCTTTTGACTTTCCCACTGCACGTTTGCAAAATAGCCACATAACGTAGTTACTCACTGGACTGTTCGCATTTATTTTTATAGCTTAATATGTTCCGCTATATCCTCCCCTTTGATCTTTTAATATCTTTTCCCCCTCTTATTTGCTGGGAACTAATTTTGCTCTCTGTGTATAACTTACAGTCATGTTGGCTTATTATGGTGGTAACCACCGGTGAAAGGTACAGCTGGTCATCTGTAGGCTTCCCTTTGATGAATTTCACAGACACAAGGCTCCTGATTGAAGCAGATGGTTCATTGTTTGTCATCTCTGGGAAATGGCAGTGTGACTGTGAGCAGGACCATATTCTTAATACCAACTCCAAAATTTTGATCAGAACAGCTGGGTTTGAATTGAACTGGGATTTTCAAGAGCACCCTGGTCCTTCCTATCTAATACATTAGCCTGTTCAGAAGACACCCGGCCATTTGAAGATGGTCGTTCATTACATCTGCCAATTATAGAAGTGGTGCTCTTAGTTAAGGCTGTCTGAGCAAATATTTTTGCAGATGAGGCCTTAGTTGAAAGAGAGAATAGCCTGCTGACCCGTTACGACTGCGCAACCATGTTGAAGCTGGAGAAGGAGCGTTTATTTTGAGAGCTCAAAGGCAGCTTTAATTAATTTCCTTCAACATGTTGGCACTGTCATGTAATTTGTCTTAAGAAATCTGCATGCAAAGGAACTCGAAAAGCAAACGGCAGGAATTTGTGCCAGCTAGCAGTAGAAAAACAGTACCGAATTGTATTCTGGTGAGTGACCCAAAGAGGAGGCTGAGGTGTGTATTTAGCCCTCACTGAGCTGCATTTACTTCCTAGAGCTTCTTGTGCTGCTTAAAATTGTCGATTGGTTTGTACATTGTATAATGCTATAAAATGACTTTCTAAAAAACAGATAAAAGATTTGATGCAGACAACTGAAGCGACGCTGTTTATCGAGGAAGTCTATTTAAGCCTTCTGCACCATCCCGTCTTCTGGAAACTTCGGCTTTTGCAGATGACCCTTCAGTTGCTGTGTGTCTGTGAAGTCAGCTTACAAATAACTGGAGAATGTTCGTCACTCATTCACCTTTTAGAACGTGGGCTTGAACTTCTGAAGGAGGTAAGGCAAATGCAGGTAGTCATTTACATTTAAAAAATTTTAACTTTATTGTGATTTGAGGGAAACTTTGCAGAGCAAATCCGTTTTCCACCAACAATTCATACACAGGTTATTTTGTGACTTTGATTAAAGTCCTTACACAGTCACAGCATTCTTCGTACTGCCGATCTGTGTTGACTGTTTCCAAGTGTTCTTCCTTCCTAGCCGGTCCTTCCTCATGAACTTTGTCCTGCCCGTTTGTTCTCCTATGGTGGCTTGTTCTAAGGAGTGTGGACCGCCCGGGTTATTATTCACCTTTTAGGCCTATTGTTTGGCTGAAAGTTGAGCCATGGGGGTGAGTTCAGTGCAGGCCCGAAGAGTGACTAAGGGCTGTTGTATCAGGGTTCTCCCTGTCTGGTGTCCCCAGAATCTGCTATACCAGTAAGCCTGGTCTGTTTTCTGATTTTGTATTTTGTTCCACTTGCTTTTTTCCCTTTATCTAGGACACTTTTGTGATCCATTGCAGAGTGGTCAGCCGTGGGAGCTAGATGTCAGCTAGTTCTTCTGGTCTCCGGTTTGTGGAGGCTGCGGTGCGTGTGGTCCGTTCATTCTGGAGATGAGTTGTTTCCGGGTGTCTCTCTTTTTCCTCACCTCTGCTACAGACGGGGAGAGACCAGTTGTTGCATATTTGGTGACCATTCACAAGCTTTTAAGACCCTAGTTGCTACTCACCAAAGTAGGACGTAGAATATTATTTTTGCTGGACTGTCTTGTGGCCTCCCACCCCAGTGACCCCTTCTCTTAAGTTGTTTGGTTATGGTTAAGAAGCTTATATAACTTTGCCACTTGTTTATTATATATGCGAGTATGTTTATAGCCCCCACAAAGAAGGCGCTCTTGGGTAAATATTGGACTGCTAACCTCCAGGTAGCAATTCAAGGCCACCAGCCACCTTGTGGGAGGAAGAAGAAGCTCTCTGCTCCGGTAAAGATTTCAGCCTCTGAAGCCCCGTGCAGGATCCCTCTGAGTCAGAATCTCCTCCAAGGCAGTGCGTTTGGGTGTCTGTGCTTTAAGCTTTAGGCCTATATCTGATCAGGAATATCCCTTTTATGCACTCATATCGGTTCATCTTGCCTGCCTGCCTATGTGCCCACTTGTAGATGAATGTTTGTTATTGCTGATATTGCAGAGCTGTGTGTGTGGAAGTGTTTTCCTTTGTTGTCTGTAACTCTTTTGCACCTCTCAGGGCCTTCCTTTGCTGTAGTGATACTGTGTTCATCACCTCCGTGGGGTAGACCACCTTTCTCTTCGCCCAAACTGAGCCCTGGCTATTATCTAGTTGGTGGTTTCCCCTCCCCTTTCTTCCTGTCTCTGGTAACTACCAAAGAATTTGTGTGTGTGTGTGCAAACCTTTTCTTGACTTTTTATAATCATGGGCTCATACAATATTTGACCATTTTTGAATGATTTATTTTACTCAAAATCATATCCTCTAAGTGCATTGACTTTATAAAGTGTCTCACAGCTTCTTTGTTATTCCATGATGTTGTATACTATCCTGTTGTATGTATGTATGCATCATAGTTTGTTTATCTGTTCATCTACAGATGGGCACTGAGTTAGTTAATTGTGCCAGCCTGGCCGATAATCACATGTGAGGCTAATTGAAAGGAGGAGGGATAAATGGGTGGTGAAGCCTCACCTTTCTAGTTCTCAGGTCTCTTGTTTTGTGATGGTTGCATCGGGTGCAGCTGCCTTAGCAGTTCCCTGCTTCAGTTTGCAAGATGGATTTCCTACAAGACATCCCCAAGGAGAAGCTGCATGGATCTATCCCGATGCAGCCCTGGGTGCTGGAGCAGCCATGTGGAGACCCGTGCCAGTGCTGAGATGCTAACACGTTCACTGACTCAGCTTTCCTCCTGCAGTCGGCATTATTGCCTGTTTTGTGAGGTGGAGGACTTTGTGGACTGGTGTTGGGTTAATGGGTTAATGTTGGACTTGTGGGCTTGGGCAGCATTGGGTTGGGATGTTTTCGTGATGCACCTTTTCTTTACATAAAACTCTCTTATACATGAGTCGCTGTGGATTTGTTTCTCCAAAGTACCTAGACTAATACAGGCACTAATGCCAGTTAGTAAGTAGACCTTCCAGTAGCTGAATAGAATGTGCTATGTTAATTTATTACCTGTCAAAATTATTGTGTTCTGTTGCCAGTATTATTTCTACAAAAATGAGTTACTGAATACTCTGGCATTTAGGAGTCTACCATCATTCGCATGGACATCAACATTGAGTATTTATTATATTCCAATCCCTATAGTATACACAGAGTTACACAAAGAACTGACCATCAACCATTTCGAGAGATAGCACATACGCAAGAACCAATAGGAGTGCAAGAAGTCCGAGCTGCACTAAAGACATTAACAAAAAATAAGGCTGAAGGGATACGAATTACAGTGTTTCAACAAGCTCATGAAGCACTGGACACATTGGGCAGATCAGGTGCACAAGACACACTTGTCTATGCCCTGGAATTTGGAAGACGGCTATCTGATCAGCTGACTGGACGAGAAACATGTTTGTGTCTATCTTAAAGAAAGGAGACCCACTAGACAGGAGACATTATGGCGCAATCACTGATATCACATACCAGGAAAATTTTGCTGAAGAGAATTCAACAATGGTTGCAACAGTACTTAGATAGGGATCTGCTGGAAATTCAAGCCTAACTGAAAGTAGGGATGTTTCCGATGCCACCTGAATCTTGGTCAAAAGCAGAAAATACCAGAAAGATGTTTACTTGTGTTTGATTGACTGCACGAAGGCATTTGGCTGTGTGGATTACAATACACTATGGATAGCCTTGAGAAGACTGGGAATTCTAGAACACTGCTCGTGTTTACACAGAACTTGCACATAGATCAAGAGATAGTTGTACATAGACCAAGGGAATACTGCATGGATAAAAATCCAGAAAGGTGTGTGTCAGGATTGTCTACTTTCATCATACTTAATCCGCCGACTGAGTAAATGATCCCAGAATTTGGACTCTATGAAGAAGAATGCAGCATCAGGATTGAAGGAAGGTCCACTAATAACATGCGATATGCAAATGACACAACTTTGCTTACCAAAAGCCAGGAGGACTGGAAGCACTTATGAAAACCATAGACATTGCACTTTTATGTACAGAAACACAAAACCTCACAACTGGACCAATAGACAACATCATGATAAACATAGCACAGATTGAAGTTGTCAAGAATTTCGTTTTGCTTGGCTCCACAGTTAGCTCATAGACACAACAGTGAAGAAGAAATACGTTCAGAAAGTTTGCTGCACAAGACTACCCTAAAGCATTGAAGAACACAGGCTGTCACAGTTGAAGACTAAGGTGTGCCTGCCCCAAGCCATGGTATTCTCCTTCCCCGCCTATGCATATGGAAACTGTGCAATCGCTAGGGAAGGTTGCATTTGAATTATGGCGTTGGTGAAGAATGTAGTCATTGCAGTGCCATCGATTCGGTTCCAACCCATGATGGCCTCGTGCACAACAGAATGAAACACTGCCCAATCCTGTGACATCTCAAAATTGTTCCTACACCATTGTTGCAGCCCTGGTGTCCATGTACATCTCCTTGAAGGACCTTCCTCTTTTTTGCTGCCCCTCTACTGTCCCAAATAGGATGTCTTTCCCCAGGGATTTTTCTCTCCTGACACCAGGCCCAAATATGTAAGACAAAGTCTTACACCACCAGAAAAACAAACAAATCTGCCTTCTCGGAAGTGAGGATGGTGATACTTCCGCTTACAGACTTCAGATATGTTGTCAGGAGAGCTCAGTCCCTGGAGAAGGACATCATGCGTGGTAAAGTCAAGGGCCAACTAAAAGGAGGAGATCCTCGTTGAGTAGACTGACCCAGAGACTGCAACAGTGGGCTAAAACATAACATCCAGTGTGAAGTCCATGCAGGAGCAGGTAGTGCTTCATTGTGCAGAGAATCTCTATGAGTCAGAACCAGTTCGACATCACCTGACAACCACAGCAACACAGCATGCAGAATGAAGATGTATGTTCTATGAAAAGCTATGTAAAGATTTATAAACATATAAGAATTAGAGTATAATAAGGTATAGTATAAAAAGCAGGTAATACTGCTTTTATGGCAGTATATTTAAAATACAATGTGAACAGAAGTTCAGGAAAGCAGGGCTTGAGTTGAGATCCAAGGGCTGAAATAGGAGTTTGCCTGGTCTGCAAGCCAGACACTGAACCAGCAGGAGTCCTAACGCAGTGCCAGAGAGAGCAGGCAAGACATAGCCAGGAAACAAGGTGTTCGTTGAGTAGTTTTGCAGGAATAAGGTGTGGGAAATAAGGCTGGGCATATTGTAAAGGATCTTTCATATCACACAAATACCTACATTTTGTGTTCTAGGTAGTGACAAGCTATTAAAGACCTTGCAACAGAGAGGCACCCTCATACTTTTGTGGGAAAGATCTGGTGGGAGAGTGGAGAAGGTGTTTGGATTAGGGCTGCACTTCATCCCTGGTACTCTCAACATTCTTTGCCAACACAGCAATTCAAATGCATCAGTTCTTCTTTCATTATCCAATTTTCTCATGCATTTGTGGCAATTTAATATGCCATGGCTTGATCATATATAAATTATGCAATATATAACACATAATATCTATTATAGGTAATGTAGAAAAAATTATATACTATAATGCATAATACATCATATATAATATGTTATACTTATGACATGTAACATGTAATTATATAACTTATTATATTATACTACAATTTTGTATAATAGATATATATTATTGTGTTACTTATCCAAGGAGCCTTGGTGGCTCTGCTGGGTAAATGTTGGACTGCTAACCACAGGTCAGTGGTTCAGACCCACCATCTACTCCTTGGGAGGACGATGAAGCTGTCTATTCTTGCAAAGATGTACTGCTTCAGAAACCCTGCAGAGGGTCACTATGAGTTGGAATTGATGCAGTGGAG